ACAATTTTGTATTTGAACATGAGACATAATGCTTGATGATTGGTAGATAATATTGTCATGGGATACACTTGTAAATATTTTAAAAATAGGACTTTATGGTTTTTTTTTTTTTATAAAAAAAGGACTTAATGGAATACCAATATTAACAATAAGACTTTTAGATAATCCCAAAAAATAAAAATAGTATCATAACTAAATGCCACTTGATATATAAACAAAGATTTTATCAGTCATAATCAAAATAATAACTGCAATAAGTCATAATTAATATTATACTGACTCATAACAAAGTCATAACTAACACCAAAATGGAAAGTTTGACTTTGTTTATGCACTCAAAGAGGCTGTCAACAACACACAACACACACATTTTGATCGATTTAAAATAACGGGGCCTACCATTTTGGATAGAACCATTACACCTTTTGGATATAGGAATCACATTTTTAGACCAATCATATTTTGTGTAGTGTTAACACACTAACAAAAGTGAGTGAACAAATTTATTTTTTAAAAATGGATCATAATTAAACATCATTTGAGATATAACTAAGGTCAAATTTGGTAAGTTGGAAAAAAAATTAAAAAGTCAAAAAGTTATTCAAAAAGTTAAAAAATTATCACTATTCACCAAAAGTCAAAAATTACGGTTGCACAACTCTCAATCCTAATTTTCATCTACACACTAATTTATACAATTTTTTAATACACATTTTTTCATAAAAAGTAAAAAAAATTAACCCAAACATTCATATTTTTTTCTTTAATTTTTTAGTCTAAAAAGACAAAAAGTGCACTTATTTAAGACGCCCCAAACAACTCCTAAATACATTTTTTATCATAATCAAAATAACAACTACAATAAATGATAACAAACTCATAACTAATATCATAATGAGTCATAATCAAGTCATAGCAAATATTATCATAAAAATCAGTTATATTATATATATATATATATATTTGAGAGGTTGTATTATAGAATTTCCCACTGTATATATAAATTCAAGTAAATTACACTTTATTCCCTGTTTGGTCAATTTTTTCACTTGGCTTGTAATTTTTTTTTTTTTAACTTTAGCCTGTCATGTTTTAAGTTTTTTTTTTCAATTTACTCTGAAAATTAACTTATGTCTAAAATTAGATAACAAATGACACATTAACAACCATGTAGCATAAAAAATATTTTATTATATATAACTCACACATTTTACACAAATCTAAATATCAATATAATATATATTTTGTACCATGTGACAGTTAACGTAATAACGTGATATTTTTTTTATCTAATTATAAAACAGAAATTAACTTTAAGGGAATTTTTTTTTAAATTCGGGCCCACTAATCTTGGGCTATTGGGCCTAAATAATTTAGTGGGCTCAAATTAGCCCCTCTTACAAACATAAACGACGCAAGTATCAAACAAACAAAATTCAATGTATCAAAATAAGAAAATTGTCAAATATGAAAGAAGAAAAAGTTTGACATTGAAAAAAAAAATAATAGAGCGGAGATGAGCAATAATGTTCCCATGTTTGTTTCTGTTGCACCAAAAAAAGATAATTATAAATACACTTTTTGATATTTATTTAAAATATGAATTATTTTTTATAATTTGAAAAATTAAAAATACTTGTTTGTTAGAATTTTTTATTTAACAGAATTAACTAAAAAAATTAATATTTTAATTATACTCTTATATAATAATGAAATTACTTGAATTATTATTTAAAATAATTTTTGACATTATTAGAAACTATTAATTGACTTAATAATTTATTAATAAAAATAGCTACTTATTATGAAATTAAAAACTTCACTGAGTGGGATGTAATTTAAAAAATCACATGCGACAATTCGTATTTGTATTTTAAGCAAATTTCAAGAGATGTATTTATAATTTATCAAAAAAAAATAATACTAATGTTGTTGGGTTGAGTGTTTAAGAAAGTGAGTTGAGTGAGTGTTCAACTAGACTGGGTATTTAGAAAAATGAATTACGGTGTCCAGCCGACTCGGGGGCCTAATGTATCGGAGTGGTAAAAACGCGTCATGCGTAGTTCTACTTCATTAACATGTTCTTGCTATCCTAAACTCTCTCTCTATATATTCACTTTCTGAAGAACTTTAATACTATAACTTTTCACAAACTTTACAACGCATCCAAGAAACAAGAGACAACTTTGCGACTTCGAAGAAGTAATCTCATCATTCATCTCATTAAGGTTCGTCAAATATTTTCATCCGCTTTAATGCTTTTCCTCATATCTATTAACTTGTTTATCATTTATTATTATTGATTTTCATCCATGTTTCTTAAAAGGCATGGTATTTGATTCACTTATAAGGCATGGTCTTTGATTCATTTATACATATATATATACACGCCAATGAGTTCGGATTTGTTAAAGTTGAAGATCTCAACTTTGTGGAAAAGTTCGTGCCTTGTTGGACTAATTTACATTTATGTATGTAAATAATCTGATCCATCTCATATGATAAGTTGAGAAGAACATATGTATGCAAAACAAATTAGGTTGAATAGATATAAATAATCAATTGATCAAATTACATACATATTATATTATTTGGACAGTCTATTCTTAAAATATGTATGCTGTATAAATAAAAATAATATAATAATATATCAACTTGATTCTTAACAGGAATAATTTTTTACAGTTAGATCACTTGGACGGCCTATTCTTAAAACATGTAGTAATCACATGATTAAATTATATACGTATTATATTATTTGGGCAGCCTATTCTTAAAACATGTAGGCCGTATAGATAAAAATAAAATAATAATATGACAATTGATGTTAGATCAACTTGATTTTTAGCATGAATAATTTTTTTAAATTAGTTGTATAGAATGAACAATTTAAATCACTGAAGTGAGTTCAAAATAATCAGATAATGGATCAATTTCACCGTAAAATTGAGGTTTTTAACTTTATCAAATCCATAGCAAATCAAGACTCATATACCGATTGTTATAAGGTCTTTATTTGAATGTTAATTTGGGTATTATTTGAAGCCTCAATTGTTCTTTACCTAGCAGATCTACCTTCATTAGTTGGAGATGAGTATTTTTGTTTTCAAAAATGCTAGAGGCTCCAAAGTTTCTATCAATTTTTTTTACTAAACACTCACATGGGTGTGGGTTCCACATCTATGTGAGTGTTTGGTAAAAAATTTGATCAAAAACTTTCATATTTGGGGCATTGCTCTTTTGTTTTTGCTTCATTCAAATCAAAAAGAAAAAAGAAAAAAATCATGCAAACATGTATTAATGTTTTGAATACCTGTACTCTTTGCCTGTAAATTGTTCTCATCAAATTCTTTATAATTGCACTCCATAATTTATCTTTATATCAAAATTTTAAACATGACACCATTCTCAACACAAATTTTAAATGCCAAAATTGTAAAAAAATGGAATGTGAATTACGCTGCTCTCCAATTTTATTTTCCATAATAATACACAAAATGTAGGAGCCTCAGCCTATTTGGCCCATTCAAATCATGGATGCCAAAACTATAAATAAATGTTCGGGCCTCATGTTGGCGAATTAGCTCTGAATAGCTCATGTTCAATTGAAAGCGATTCAATGAAAAACTTTATTACAACTTAAGAAGTTTTTCAGACAGATTCTATGGTTTAAAGCTATCAATTTGTGATTTTGTAGTGTTAGAAAAATTTGGCTTTTACAATTACTTTAGATTGCTATTAAAATTTTAATGTCGCTGCATTGTTTACTTTTGATGTACTAAGTCCATGAAATTGTGTTATGATAGGTATTTGAATCACATTGAAAGCATAGTCATCATGAGATTCATGAAAGGGAGTAAAGTGGAAGTACTTAGCAAAAAAGAGGTCTCAACAGGTTCTTGGCTTTCTGCTGAAATAATCTCTGGAAATGGCCACACATACAGCATAAGATATGTTTCATTTCCAAGTTCTGGCGAGGCCCTAGTCGAAAGGGTTCCTAGGAAGGCAATTAGGCCTTGTCCTCCACCGGTGGAGGGGGCTGCTGCTGATAATTGGGTTCCCGGAGATCGTTTGGAGGTATTTCATTCCAAGAACATGTCTTGGAAAACAGCGACGATGGTGAAGGTTTTGGGTGGAAACAAATTCTTAGTTAGGCTAATTGGAAAGTCCAAGGAATTTGAAGTCCATGGATCTCATCTCAGAGTCCGACAGTCTTGGCAAGATGACAAATGGTTCATTGTTGGCAAGGTAATTTTTCATCCAATTTTGTATCTATGTTTTTTTTTTTTTAAGCAACTGATTTATTTGTTTTATTTCTGCTGCTTTATTAAATATTTGGTACTAAATTTTCATTATGCTCATTGATTATTATTATGTTAAAAGTCAAAGCTTATAACTATGTTCCTTGAAATGTGGTGGAATAGTAACGGGAGCATGGAACGATATGAGTAAACTTGTATAGCTTACACTAAGAAATTAAGAAATTTAAAATATTTCTGAAGTAAATTTCTTTTAATAATTAGACATCCAATAAAATGTAGGATTTTTTTTTTTCTTTTCCAAAGTTAATCATGGAGCACTATATTTCTATTAGTATTATGACCCTTTTTTTTTTTGGTTTCCAATCAAAAACTTTACTCACCTTTATATTTGATTTTTTTCTTCTTAAGGAAACCTTTAAGAAATATGTTGGAGAAAAGTTTTGGGATCGCTTTAGATCATTAAATTTATCCTTTTTGTATGAAAATGTAACCACATTTCAGAACATACACTCCAAAATGTAATTTGCTGGAATACTATTTAATTCCTTACCAAGATGCACCAAACATACAACAGTTGAATACCCTTCAGCAGCTGATTAGTTTCTTTTGTTTATGTTGCTTGTATTCTAATTTTCATAGGGATCTTTTGAGAGTAGTTCATATTTATGCCCCTGAAAATGCTTGATATTAATGGTTCTTTTTTGCTTTTATGAGCTCTCCTTGCTTTACATTGGCTGATTATATATCGTTTACTGTGTTTATACTATAGGGTGATGCACAATTTGCAATGTCAATGAAGAAAAACCAGAAAGACACAAATACAAAGCTATTTGTGGGCAAAGATCATTTTCATGCTGCAAAAAAAATGGAAATTCAGGAGCCCCAAAATTCCACCAGGACACTCGAGAAAGCATCGCCTATTGGTGGGAATTCTGTAAAACATGAGAATGAAGACACTGACAGTTTTCGTAGTGATGCTGAACCCTTTCATGGACGATGGTACGAGAAAGAAGGAAGTGACCTCGTGAAAAATAAGGAATTGGTGGCACGAGACCATAAGTTAGAGCTACGTGCCTATTGTAATGCTCTGAAGGCGTTGTTTGCATCGGGTCCTTTGAGTTGGGAAGATGAGATGGAGGTGACAGAACTCCGTCTTTCACTGCACATATCGGATGATGAACATTTGGTGGAGATAAGAAACTTGATGTCTGCTAGAATTCCTATATGTTGAACACAAAATCAGACTATTTTTTGTTCTACCATTCTTATCAACAATTATATATAACGGTTTGATTATGAGTTTGTGAAAGCCATTAGGGAAGAGTACCAAAGGATCAGATCAGACCAAACGTTTTTAGGAGCTTAGTTGTTCAAGAAAAGATTATGTAGTTCTGAGATCAGGGGACTGGGGGAGGCCAAAGGGCAGGAGAAAATCTAACATTACTTCCAGTTCTCTCAGGATGGCCTGGTATAATCTTGCAGTTATTCCATATGAATAATATTCGTGTTATTTTTCATTTCTTTTCTTTTTTTCCTAACATGCTATACTTCAGTTACGGATTGAGTTCCCTGTAATTTTATTGGTTATGATTACTGTATTGTTTAGCAATCTTTCATACCACCTAGTGCAGTACTGGTTTCACTTTTCTGTATTAGAATTATATTTGTTTTGTCCCTTTAATTGCCAGTTGATCCTCTATCCAATGGATGTCGTTTTTGCTTCCATCATAAGTAATAAAGTTCAGCTCATGCTCTTAGTTGAGGTAACCCAAGGAGGAAAGGAAAGGAGAGTTGTGAATCTATGTTGTGGAAAGAGGTAATTTCTGCCTCTCAGACTACTTTCCTTCAACTATTAATTAGAGTGTAGAGAGGAACAGGGAGAAGAATTGATGTAGTTGTTGCATTTTGTAATATTGTCCTGAAATATACCTTGCCTTAAGACCTCCAAATTTTCGCGGCCATGTGTGTGCCATTTGACCCCTTTCATGATTATACATTAAAATTTAAATAAATAAAAAAAGTACACCCAGTTTAGTTGGTCGCTATACTAACACATATTGCTGATAATTTTGGTGTTTTTTTTTTATTGTTCATTTTGTTGATTTTTGAGGACATTTATAGTGTCAATCTCAATAAACCTCCTTTCCCACTTAAGAAAGTAATCCATTCTATTATATGAAGTGTACACCCCATTTGGTGTGAACGTTGTTATGTTTTACATTTTCTAATAATGCCCTTCTTAACAGTCAATTCCAATCACTGTTGAAGTAGAGGAACTAACTGAGTTGACTAAGAAACTGCCCCTCAATCATTAAGTCATCCAAAAATTTAAAAGTAAAATTGCAAACGCATTGCATTTGCATCCACCACTAGTTAAGTAAAAAAGTAAGTCTCTGTGCGTAATCCCATTGCTTAGTTTCCAATATTATCCATTCTGTCATATCCTTGAATTACATTGCAGATTCGAGAAGGGCTGGACTATAATCCTTACTTCCCTGGGAGCAATTGCTATGCCTAAAATGCTGAACGACGGTGCTGTTGAGTACGAAGATGGTACCCCTACAACAGTCACAGGCAACTGAATAGCTCTGTATTAATCTGTAATGTTGTGTGTTTGTTTACAAAGAGAATGAGCTCTCTTTATAGAGAGAAGAGGGATACAATGGAGCACCGAAAGCATAAAGGTTACATTAAACAATACAACTCTGCTGGGGACCCCAGTGGGGGTGACCCCCAGTGCCACGTGTCGGCCTGGGGGTGGCTGAAAACCAAAAAAAAAGCTCTGATTTTTGGGCCAATCACAGAGGACCCCCAGCACCCCCACTGGGGGTCTCAAGATTTATTCTAAACAATATAAGCACTAATGCTAAAGTTGAAAGTGTGGTAGTGGGTGTTTGCCTTTACAGATAATTTACAGCTACAATGTACTATCTAATATCTAATGTATATGATCTATTAACAGCCCCTCGCAAACTCAAGGAGGGTAGGCATCGACCAAGTTGAGTTTGGAAATAAGATCACGGAAGCGCCCAAGAGGATGAGCCTTGGTGAAAATATCAGCAGGTTGATCGGTAGAAGCAATAGGGAGAAGATGAACAGTACCACGTGTAACATGCTGTCGAATGAAATGACAATCAATCTCAATATGTTTGGTGCGATCATGAAAAACATTATTGTGAGCAATCTGAATGGCACTCTGATTGTCACAATAAAGAGAGGTAGCGCCAGAAGAGGAAACACCCATATCAGTGAGGAGCCAGCGAAGCCAGAGAAGTTCCTGAGTAGTATCAGCAAGAGCTCGGTATTTAGTTTCGGTGCTAGAACGGGCAGTGTGGGATTGTTTCTTGCTACGCCAAGTAATAAGAGAATCTCCTAAGAAGAAACAGAATCCCGTGGTGGAGCGTCGATTCGTAGGATCCCCAGCCCAATCAGCATCAGAAAAGGCACGCAGGTTAAGAGAGGAGGAAGCAGAGTAGTGAAGGCCATGGAACAGAGTGCCTTTGAGGTATCGAAGGATGTGGAGTAGAGCAGTATAGTGGGGAGTGTGAGGAGCCAACATGTACTGACTAACAATGTGAACAGCATAGGCAATGTCAGGACGAGTCACTGTGAGATAGACAAGACTACCGACGAGCTGGCGATAAAGAGTAGCATCATTAAGGAGATCCCCATCGAGAGGAGTGAGACGAATCTGAGGATCAACTGGAGTAGAGGTAGTTTTGCAATCGGTAAGAGCAGCACGAGCCAGAAGATTTGATGCATATTTGGCCTGAGATAAATAAGAACCAGTAGAATCATGAGAGACTTCGAGGCCTAAAAAGTAGTTAAGAGTACCAAGGTCCTTCATCTCAAACTGATGGTGGAGAAAACGTTTAAGGTGGAGAATACCAGCTGCATCATTACTAGTGATAATCATATCATCTACATACAGAAGGAGAAAAGTGGTACCATAAGGAGTAGTCCGTATAAAAAGAGCAGAGTCATAGGAGCTAGAGGTGAACCCGAAATCATGAATGGTAAAACTGAACTTAGCAAACCAAGCGCGGGGCGCTTGCTTGAGGCCATATAGGGCACGCTGTAGTTTGCAAACCTTATGAGGTGGAAAAGTGGACCCAGGTGGAGGTTGCATGTAGACCTCCTCAAGAAGATTATCATTGAGGAAAGCATTTTTGACATCCATCTGGAAGAGCTCCCAGTGGCGAGCAACAGCAACAGCAAGTAAACTGCGAACAGAGGTAAGCCGAGCAACAGGGGAGAAGGTTTCCTCATAATCAATCCCATATTCCTGGTTGAAACCCTTGGCAACAAGACGAGCTTTGTAGCGTTTAATAGAGCCATCAGAATAAGTCTTCATTTTGTAAACCCATTTGCAGCCAATAGCAGTTTTGCCAGGAGGAAGATCAACAAGATCCCAAGTATGAGTTTTGTCCAAAGCTTGGAGTTCATCAGTCATAGCTTGCTGCCAAAGAGGATTAGTACAAGCCTTACGATAGGAGGTAGGTTCATAAGTAGAAAAGGCAGCAGACCCAACAATATAATCACGAAGATGGATAGGAGGTTGAGTTACCCGATGTGGTCGACCCGTAGGAGGATCGGTGGGAGGAAGAACCGGTGGAGAAGGATGTGGTGCAATGAGAGGTGGACCTTCAGGGAGAGCAATCTGGTCGGGAGCAGGAGTGAGCAAGGGCGTCTTAATGAAAGAGGAACCTGTATCAAAATCATCAGAGAAGAGATCTATGGAAGGATTAGTAAACAGGACATTAGTGGAAAATGCGGGTAAGTGAAAGGAGGATAGGGAGGAAAACATTTTGTGCTCCTAGAAAACGACATGGCGGGAGATACGAAGACGTTTAGAGAGAGGGTCCCAATAGCGAAAGCCTTTATGTTCAATTCCATACCCAAGAAAGCAACAAAGACGAGAACGAGGTTCAAGCTTGGTGTGTTCATGAGATTGAAGTAGAACAAAGCAGGCAGAGCCAAAAACTCGAAGATTAGTATATGGAGGAGGAGTTCCATGCAGACGTTCAAAGGGAGTTTGATTATGGATAACAGGGGTAGGAGCACAATTGATGGTGTAGACAGCAGTGAGGGCAGCTTCCCCCTAAAAGTTTTCAGGGCAGGAAGAAGAGAGAAGGAGAGCGCGAGAAGTGTCGAGAATATGCCTATGTTTCCGTTCAGCATGGCCATTTTGCGGGGACGTGCTAGCACAGGAACGATGAGGCAGTGTACCATGACTCTGAAGAAAATAAAGGAAATCTGAATCCCGATATTTCATAGCATTGTCAGAGCGAAAAAGTTTGATGGTTTTGGAAAATTGGGTGTGGATCATTTAGGCAAATTTATAATAAAGGGTTTTGAGTTCAGACCGAGTTTTCATGAGAAAAATCCAAGTAAACCGTGAAAAATCATCAATAAAAACAACAAAATAACGAGATCCCCCCATAGTAGTAATAGGGGAGGGGCCCCAAATATCCGAATGTATAAGATCAAAAGGTGCACAAGAAACAGAAGTACTTTTATTGAATGATAAAGCAGGTTGTTTGGCAAGTTGACAGGGTATACAATCGAAAGTATCTGGAAGTACATGACCCAATTGTCCACTAGAAACCAAAGACTTTAAGCAATTAACAGAAATATGCCTTAAGCGACAATGCCAAAGATGAAAAGGAGATAATGAGGAAGCAGATGCAGGAGAAGCGATCTGAGGAGAGTCAGGAGCATGAAGGTGAATGAGCTCATAGAGACGTTCGTGCTTACGGCCGATCCCAATAGTCTGCCCCGTCTGAGGGTCTTGCACCAAACAATGAGTAGCAGAAAATGTGACAGTTAGACCAAGTTCACATAATTGACCAATAGAAATAAGGTTTAAAGTGAGAGCAGGGATATGATAAACTTGAGGTAAAGATAAAGAAGAAGTGGAAACAGTACCAATATGACGGACAGTCATGAGAGAACCATCAGCAGTTTGAATTGAGGGAATATGAGGAGATGAAGAGATAGAAAAAAATATAGTAGAACTGGAGGTCATATGATTACAATAGGCAGAGTCAAAATACCAAGAAGAGTTACTTGGAATCACAGACAAAGCAGTAGGAGAAGGTGTACCGGAAGGGGAGATAAGGTGTTTAAACATGGCCGCTACATCCGTTGGAGAAAAGAGAGGGGTAGATGAAGCAGGAGACTCAGAAAAACCCTCAGAGGCAGCAGCAGCAGTGTGATGAGACTGATTCCCGGAACGATGAAAGCTCCCCCGAGAAGAACCACTGCGAGAAGAGTAGTTGTTGGAGGATGAGCGGGAGGGATTGCGAAAACAATCCTGTTGCAGATGACCAAGACTAAGTTTGTTGCAGTATCGGCAGGTTCTGACGGGGCAATTGACCAGGAGATGTGTTGAAGGAAGGCCCTGATTCTGACAATAGAGGCAGACAGTGGTCCGCTGGGTAAATGATGGCCGGTACGGAGGAGTGGCAAGAACAGAGTCCACATGATGAGTTTGGAGAGTACCAAGACGAGTCTCCTCTGATAGCAGCTCAGAAATAGCTTGTTCCAGAGTGGGCAAAGGATGGCGATGAAGAAGAGAGGCACGTACGGGTTCAAAAGATGAAGTGAGAGTCATGAGAAAGTGCACCAACCTTTGCTGATTACGATGGGCAGTAAATAAGACAGCATCTTCGCGGTGAGGCCAAGTCAGTTCGGAAAGAGCAAGCTGGTCCCAAACGGAGTACATTTGAGAAAGGAAGTCATTGATGGACTGACTAGAGTCTTGGCGTATCCGATGAAGTTGGCTCTGAAGTTGATATTGATGAGCAAGACCAGTAGTCTGGTACCGTTCTTTCAAAAAATCCCAGATGTCTTTTGCAGGAGTAGTGACAGAGTCAAGCTGAAAGCGACCAAACTGAAGACTGATAGAGGTAACAGAGGTAGTTCGAAACCAGGTAATGATTTGGTAATTTTTACTGTCCCATTCCTCAAGTCGGTCTTCATATGTAGTAGTAACAGTGGAAATAGTGGTTTCAGCAGTGTCTTTCACTGGTTGGGTCACATCCCCGGTGATAATTCGTCAGAGCTTCTTTCCGTTGAGGAAGGAAGACATGGCTTGGGCCCATAGCACATAGTTGGAACCATTCAAAATAATGGAAATGGGATGGGAGGCATCATGAGGATCCATAATAAAGGTTGAATAGGGTTAAAGCAATAGGAATAGACCTGTAGGAGCAAAATTAGGTAAAACAGAGTGTACCAGTGAGTCCGGAAGGTCGAAAATAACAAGGAAATGTATGCTGTGCAGAGATGATGTCAGCAATGATGTCAGCAGAGCACGTTAGCAAAGTGCAGGGAGGAGCACATTAGCAGGAAGGCGGCGGCGTACGGTAGTGGACTGGCGCACGAGCGGCGCACGGTAGCTGTTTTAGCGCATGCGGGTGCACACTAGTGAAGCGGCGCACGAGAGGTGTACAGTAGCAGGCGCGGCGCACGGGAGCGGCAGGGCTGACGTCAACCATGGACGTGTGGACGCGTGTGGGCGCGTGGCGGATGTGAGCAGCAACAGATGGCGCGTGCAGGCGCGTGTGAGAGTGGTGGCAGAGGTGGTGACGCGCCGAGGACAAAGGCGACGCGTGTGGGCGCGTGGAAAGGTTTCTGAGGACGGGCTTGGTACCGTTGGAATCATGAGGAAATTCCAAGCGGTTTGATGTAGTGCCACTGTGTACGGGACTAAACACCAAAATTGAAAATTGTCAGAAATGTAACACTGGGCTTTGATACCATGAAACAATAGTTTGAGAGAGTGAGAGAGAGAGAGCAACTGAATAGCTCTGTATTAATCTGTAATGTTGTGTGTTTGTTTACAAAGAGAATGAGCTCTCTTTATAGAGAGAAGAGGGATACAATGGAGCACCGAAAGCATAAAGGTTACATTAAACAATATAAGCACTAATGCTAAAGCTGAAAGTGTGGTAGTGGGTGTTTGCCTTTGCAGATAATTTACAGCTACAATGTACTATCTAATATCTAATGTATATGATATATTAACAGTCCTAATCCTATCTTTGTAGTTTAGTTTGTGTCTCAGTTAACAAAACTTAGAAAGCTTATATTCTTTCCATCTGTTGGGACAGATGGGAAAAGACGTCGTGACATTTTTGTCATGGACACAAAATCAGACTATTTTTTGTTCTACCATTCTTATCAACAATTATATATAACGGTTTGATTATGAGTTTGTGAAAGCCATTAGGGAAGAGTACCAAAGGATCAGATCAGACCAAACGTTTTTAGGAGCTTAGTTGTTCAAGAAAAGATTATGTAGTTCTGAGATCAGGGGACTGGGGGAGGCCAAAGGGCAGGAGAAAATCTAACATTACTTCCAGTTCTCTCAGGATGGGCCTGGTATAATCTTGCAGTTATTCCATATGAATAATATTCGTGTTATTTTTCATTTCTTTTCTTTTTTTCCTAACATGCTATACTTCAGTTACGGATTGAGTTCCCTGTAATTTTATTGGTTATGATTACTGTATTGTTTAGCAATCTTTCATACCACCTAGTGCAGTACTGGTTTCACTTTTCTGTATTAGAATTATATTTGTTTTGTCCCTTTAATTGCCAGTTGATCCTCTATCCAATGGATGTCGTTTTTGCTTCCATCATAAGTAATAAAGTTCAGCTCATGCTCTTAGTTGAGGTAACCCAAGGAGGAAAGGAAAGGAGAGTTGTGAATCTATGTTGTGGAAAGAGGTAATTTCTGCCTCTCAGACTACTTTCCTTCAACTATTAATTAGAGTGTAGAGAGGAACAGGGAGAAGAATTGATGTAGTTGTTGCATTTTGTAATATTGTCCTGAAATATACCTTGCCTTAAGATCTCCAAATTTTCACGGCCATGTGTGTGCCATTTGACCCCTTTCATGATTATACATTAAAATTTAAATAAAAAAAGTACAACCAGTTTAGTTGGTCGCTATACTAACACATATTGCTGATAATTTTGGTGTTTTTTTTTTGTTGTTCATTTTGTTGATTTTTGAGGACATTTATAGTGTCAATCTCAATCAACCTCCTTTCCCACTTAAGAAAGTAATCCATTCTATTATATGAAGTGTACACCCCATTTGGTGTGAACGTTGTTATGTTTTACATTTTCTAATAATGCCCTTCTTAACAGTCAATTCCAATCACTGTTGAAGTAGAGGAACTAACTGAGTTGACTAAGAAACTGCCCCTCAATCATTAAGTCATCCAAAAATTTAAAAGTAAAATTGCAAACGCATTGCATTTGCATCCACCACTAGTTAAGTAAAAAAGTAAGTCTCTGTGCGTAATCCCATTGCTTAGTTTCCAATATTATCCATTCTGTCATATCCTTGAATTACATTGCAGATTCGAGAAGGGCTGGACTATAATCCTTACTTCCCTGGGAGCAATTGCTATGCCTAAAATGCTGAACAACGGTGCTGTTGAGTACGAAGATGGTACCCCTACAACAGTCACAGGCAATCGTCCTAATCCTATCTTTGTAGTTTAGTTTGTGTCTCAGTTAACAAAACTTAGAAAGCTTATATTCTTTCCAAATGTTGGGACAGATGGGAAAAGACGTCGTGACATTAAATGGAAGAGAGAAAGCTGGTATGATGGGCTGCAAGGATGTATCTCCTTTTGTTGTGAGTCATTGCCTTATGTAAATTAATAGCTCTACTACGAACATAAAAATCAATCACAAAATCAGACACAAAATACACATGAATAGACAACATTTTATAGGATTTGTTAGTGGGGTCAACTTTTGAAAATCTTGTATGTCCATATCTATTTTGTGTTCTGTTCTGTAACTGATTTGTTATGCTCAAATATTCATCAGTTATAGACTGATGGCTAGAATGGTGATTCGCCTTTATTGTGCTTCCATTTGGTGGAAAAGTAAAAAATTGTTTTGGAAAAGTGGTCTCAACAAAATCAAACACTCCAGGTTCATGTGATGGGGATTGAGTTTGGTATTTACCAACTCAAAAGTCTATGAATGTAACCATTTCAAAACATTAGACCCTTTTTTTTTTCTTCTTGATATGTACCTGTTTTGCAAAATATAGCAACTAGGTACTGTTTCTGACTTCAATTGGGCTTTTGGAAAAATTGCAGATGGATTCAAATGGAATTTGGTGCTGTCACTTGCACTTCTTCAAGCTGCTTACTATCGACAGTTTAAGATGGTCTGTTCTCAAGTCTCATAAACTGGTTCTTGATGTTGTCAACTGATCTCTTCTAAACTTGAACGATGCGTTGACAAACAACAGTTGCTACTAGGGGTGTGCGCGGTGCAGGTCGGTGCGGTTTGAGAGAAAAATAGAAACCGTATGGCGGGTGGCGGATTGATAAAAGTGTTACTAGAATTTGCCATTTTTCTTATCAAAAACCGGCGGTTCGGTTGGTAAATAATGGCGGGTTTGCCTTGGCGGTTCGGACGGATTGGCGGTTTATAAAAAATATAATTCAAATTACAAAACTTATCAAAGAGTAAAAAAAAGACGAGAGATACCGTGATGTTAAGCATCTTGCGAAGCTTTCTTCTGATGTAGCAAGTGTAGCAACAACATGATAATATCGACGACTATGCCATCAGTTCATTACAAGCATCTGTGAAAGCTACAATGATCAAATACAATACATAAAATTAATATCATTCAGGGTTTACAATATATTGAAAATGTTTACTGTTGAAAAGTATTTAGATTGAAAAGTGAGCTGATGCAAGTTTGCAACATGGCCAGAAAAAAAAAATATTGAAAAGTGAATTGGAATCCAACTTTATTTTGGATTACTGACATCTTGAATTCCCCTCGAACAGTAATGTAATACTATATTTTAAGGTATAGAACAACAAGCAAACTTAAGTAAAAAAGAATTTTTAGAATCTTATAAAACATGATTTAATAGCAGTGCGGGTCGGTGCGGTTTGGAAGAAAAATAGAAATCGGCGGATTGATAAAAATGTCACTAAAATTTTTCATTTTTCTTACCAAAAATCGGCGGTTCAATTGGCAAATAATAACGAATTTGCTTTGGTAGTGCGGTTTTGGCGTATTATGCACACCCCTAGTTGCTACGGTAAAGATGTGAGGTTTCCACTTGACTTGTGTTGTGCTTCAACAATGTATCTACAACTTCATCGTTCCATTTGTTCTATAATTATAAACCTTGTAGGAATATCAGGGTCGTAGTCTTTCTGAGGCAGAAAAATAAGGTGTCCTATGATACATGGTATGTTATTTTATTGCATCATTCTTAAATTGTCTAGGGGATCTCGTAAGTTGTTATGTGTCCAAGAGTGAAAATAATAATGTGAGGATAAAACATGGGGTAACAACCAACTAATCAAAATACAACGTCAAGGTGGTGGAGTGGAGCACTTTCGGGCAACCCGAGTTCAAAATACAAAGCTTGGGCCGGGCTTGGGCAACAATGTTCGGGTTCATGGTCGGGCTTGGGCGGGCTTGGGCAGTGCCAAATACAATTCGGGTCGGGCTTGGGCAGACCCCCAACCCGACCGAACCCGCCCGAGTTGCACCCCTAACTGTGAAGATGTGAGGTTTCCACTTGACTTGTGTTGTGCTTCAATAATGTATCTACAACTTCATCGTTCCATTTGTTCTATAATTATAAACCTTGTAGGAATATCAGGGGTCGTAGTCTTTCTGAGGCAGAAAAATAAGGTGTCCTATGATACATGATATGTTATTTTATTGCATCATTCTTAAATTGTCTAGGGGATCTCATAAGTTGTTGTGTCCAAGAGTGAAAATAATGTGAGGATAAAACATGGGGTAACAACCAACTAATCAAAATACAACGTCAAGGTGGAGTGGAGCACTCCAAGGCACTGGCATGGTTAGGGTTGTAAAATGGTTGTAAATCAAACTAACCTGTTCATTCGAAATTATTCTTAAAATAATATTCAAAATCAACTTGTTATATAAATAAATTAACCTTTAACACATTGCTAAATTTATTATTTTTTTCTTAGCCCAATAAACTTTACGTATCAAATTAAACTTCTTGAACTCAATTCGATTAAAATTCTCATTTGAAATCAATTTGGATCTCTGCAAAATAAAATAAATCAACGAGTTCCAACTATTACATATTCAATCAAATCTTATTTTTTTTTTTATTTTTTTTTGGTCTGGGCATACTATACTTGGTTGATCCAAATTCTCCTCCATCCATTTCTTGCCTTCCAATTTTGGAGAATATTAATCCAATTCTTTCGGTCATCAACCAAAGATGAGTTGGACATAAAAGAACTTACTAAATTCTCCTACGTCCATTTTTTAAACATATCAAGTTCTCAAAAAAAATTAAGCAGTTTATTACTAGACATTTAACCCATACTTTTAAGCGTATTGATCTGATGAAGAATAATGAATCTAAAAGATATTCTGAAACTGACATCACAATGCTTCTGGAGTGAAGCCTTTATTTGATTTGAACTATGGACCACACTCCCAATATTTTGGTCAATTATCTGTAATGCCAATAAAGCTTTTTGTCATGGACCTCGCATCTCTTATTATCTGCTCCCAAAACAAATACACCAAGCATCTCTCTTATTATACGAAATACTTCTGTTCCTAACAGAACTACAACTAGGCATCCATCAATGTGGGCAGGTTTTAGGATATTAGTGACAAATATCACGAGATATATATATATATATATATATGTATCAATACGTAAAGCCACATAGGAATATGTAGGAAATACAACACAGTTTTAGCCATTGAAACCCCATCTGATCCACAAAAAGTGACAAACAAATGAAAGCATTAATTGTGGGAGAATATCATCACAAGCAAACTCCTGTGTCAAATTGAATAAAATGGAAAAGTCACTTAGTCAAATGCATCATCATCGTCATCAGGAAGGGGCTGAGCAGCAGCATCCCGCAGTTCAGCTTCATGCCTGCAACAAATACAAGTGCATATAAACATCATATAACACCGGCAAACTCTCCGTTGACCAAGGAAAATTCAAATTTTAGACACAATTTTCCATTTTGAAAATCCATGTCCAGCAATGCCAAAGCACTTTCCACATTATAGTCTCAAGACATAATATGCTCAATGAGTTTAGTTGCAGTACAAATCACATGAAAAAACTATACAGTATGATTCTGTGCTACCAATACAAGAATGACAGATGGAAAATTAAAGAAAATTTTCAGGGCAGACTAAAATGTGAATGTGTGTGTGTGTGTGTGTGTGTGTGTATTTATATTTGGGAAAATATGAATGATTACAATTGTTGTGCAGCAATGTCAATTTGAACTTCTGGAGGAGCAAGAGCAGGAGATTCAACAAAGTGAAGATTAGGATCCCTGCAAGGTGAAATAATCAATTCAGTAATACTCCAGAAACACAGATACAAAGTGAAGAACTAAAAACAAGAAGCACAAAAAACTAAGCCAAGAAAGGAAAACAGCATCTTGTATATTACCCAGCAAGTTTTCTAGCAAGATATAGGAAAGGTTTCTCAAAGTTGTAGTTGCTCTTTGCAGAAATCTCATAGTACTGAAGATTCTTCTTTCTATGGAATGTGACCTGCTTTGCTTTGACCTGCCTGTTCTTTACATCAACCTTGTTTCCACACAAAACAATTGGGATATTCTCGCAAACCCTGATATTAACAGTGGAAAATAATTTAGAATTCACAGTCACTTACAAATTTTAATTTAAATTTTCCATGTAAAAATCATAATTTTCGTCTAGTCACCTGCAGAGATCCCGGTGCCATGTAGGAACATTCTTGTAGGTCAAACGTGCAGTGACATCAAACATTATGATGGCACATTGCCCATGGATACTGCATAGATAATAAAAAAAAAAAATGTACATGAAATATGTAAATATATGAAGCAAAATTTGGAACGAAAAAAAAAACTTGAGGAAGAGTGGCAGATTACAGGTGCTGGGAATTTAGATAACTGCAGAATAACTGAATGAATTAAAGTTAAACATCTAACTAGAGAGGAAATTTAAAAGCAAATTACATCCAAAACGAGCAATTAGCTGGAAGATTTGCTCAAAGTCAGATTAAATTCTGGTTTGAGTTAAAAGTTCAATAGATAATTTTCTCCCATCATTGCTACCTCTATCCCAACAGAATTGTTTCATGCAAAATACTGCTCTAGCAATTTGTTGTGTTAGAATTGTTCAATGGATAATTTTCTCTCCATTGCCACCATTATTGTTTCATGCCTCATTTGATAAAAGAAGTAATAACAGAAAGTCTTTCAGGTTTAGAACTAATCTTTGTTAGGCAATATATTTTAACAATTTAAACTCTATTTCTCCTCTCAAATGCTTTGTAATTGTTCCAGAAAGTGTTCTAAATGTTGTATACATAATTTAAGTTCTATATACAAGGATACTAGGTTGTGGATTTTGATATGTTTAGGGTTTAATAAGTAAACTACGGCTTAGACAATAACATTTTTTCAGTAGATAGAAATTATCGACGAGAATAGATGGATATAATTACTCTGTGGAGCAGCAGGTCAGTAATAAGATAGCCTCACAATTACAATCAACAGCATGACGAACGCTTGGTTGTTGGTTTAGAATTCCAAGAAAAAAAATAAACTTGACAACAAATAACCAACAACAGTAATCTTCTTAGATAATTGCCGGCATGTCTATATTTCGCAATAGCACAAGCGATTTGGATTACAAACCAACAACTCTAAAACTATACAAGGTATATTGAGTAATGCAAGAAACATTGAGATTTAACGGTCTGTAAACCATGTAAAACTATACAAGTCAATCAGCACCTCACAAAGACAAAGTCCCATTAAAGTTTGATGTTACCATTGACATGACCTACACAAAGTGCGCAGTGCAGAAGCAGAAACATAACAAATGTTAATAACGTCAACTCACGTGCGCACCTCAACAATTAAAAGATATCCAGGATGATATAACATCTTAATAAGTACCAACATTTCTGCACTAAGAAGCACGTACACAGACAAGTGACACGACATGTGTCGGACACCCACACCTTGCAGCCAGAGAGGTGTCTGTGCTTCATATTGCAGAACTAAAGGTTTCATAATCCTCATAACACATGAAAGTGAAACATGGCACAATCATTTCTTCCATCAAGATAACTTCTAAGCCACACTGTACTTATCAAAAAGGGAAAAGGAACTAAAACAAAGAAACAGACAAATGAGACCTAGGCTGCAAAAATGCACCCCTCTAATAACTGCCTAAGGTGCAACTATTGGCACACTTCCAGTGAAAGAAACTTGGACAGAAGCACAAACCTAATCAATTTATATATTGAAAAAAAATCCAGCAACTTTTACACCATAAAATGTTGGCAATAAACACATTTTATTCCATTTTGTAATTGAAAATCATCATAACACTCTGATGCCAAGATGGTGACAAATGCTGTAATACCTTTAATTTTTTGGCAAATGCATGAATAATAATGATTTCTCAAAATGAGCACATCAGCCATAGACAACTAAAATAGGATATCTCTAATCCTTCACCAAATCCTGATGAAAAAATTGGTGAAAATCAGATTCAATCCATTTACCAAACTTGTATCAAATCAAGTTTTTCATCAAATGAGGGATGAATCAAATCTTTCACCAAATTTCAAACAACCCTTTTTTCACTTAAATTTGATGAAATTGTTTTTAAAAAAAAATTTTTTTTTTTTTAAAAAAAAGAAAAGAATTTTTGATCAGTTTTGTAGTGAGCTATATCAAATCAAACTTCTGAACTATAACAAATTTGATGGGGAAATAAATGAAGGGTTAGACATGCTCTTATAAATCAATTGAGGAAAGGACACATCAGTCCTTAGGAAATAATATTATTTTACAATGAAATAAACATCCAAAAAGCAACACTTGCTATGCCTACAAAATCAAACAAATGATCACGATTATAAACAGCTAATTTCTTCATATATACCAAAAATCACCAAAAACCACAAAACTGAAAAGGAATAACTTACTAATAACCATCTCTGAGTCCACCAAATTTCTCTTGCCCAGCAGTATCCCAACAGTAAAACCTTATCTTCCCACAGTTGGTGAAGAAATCCAGTGGATGAACTTCAACACCAATCGTAGCTGCAAATCAAAAATCTCCTCAATCCATATCTCACTACACATATATCTATACTATATTTATACACGAATATGCATATATATATGCTTACGTTCGTATTTCTTCTCAAACTCTCCCGTAAGATGTCGTTTCACGAATGTCGTTTTTCCTGCACCATCATCACATCAGGATTCAATTGAAGATCAGATCTAAACTGTAAAGCATTTAATTGAAAATCAAGATCGAAACAAATACCAGTGCCGCCATCACCAACGATCACGAGCTTGAAGCTTGGATAATCCACAGTTTGTTGATTAGGAAGTGCCTACAAATACATCACACACGGATCAATCACCAAAAACCCTAACCCTAGAGAGAGAAAAAAAAGAGGAGAGAGAGAGAATATACCATTGTGGAAAGCAGACAGGTATGGAGGCTGTGAATTTTGAATGGAGAAGGATAGAGAGAGAATGGGGGTATATATATGGGGAGTTGGGGGGTTTGGAGATGGGTTTTTGCTTTTGATTAACGCGATTGTCTCAGCCGTTGGACCAAAATCCCGCTTCAGATATCCGCTTAAATGTCGGCCGTACACGTGGAATATAACTTTCGGTATCTGTACGCTTTCTGTGGGCTTGTGGTTGGTACGCCAATGGGTCAACTATATTCTCTTGTTGGGCATAAAGGGAACCATATTTACGACAATTGGGCTTTATCTGCATTATATCCTTCTTTTCTTTAATAAGTTTGGGCCCTTTTTTAAAGAGAGAAAAAAAATGGGGATTTTTTTTTAAGGCTTTTGGTATTAAAATTTTATAGTATAAAGGACACTTAATATTTTCATAATATTTAAGGTCTCTCAATATCGATCTTGAGAAAATTCATCACAAAGAAAATTCCAAATTTCTCTAAACAGCTTACAGAGAAAATTTTAAATTTCTTTGGACAGCAATAAGGACTAGTGCTCTACTTCAGAGAAAATTAGGTTGGTCCAGAGAAATTCTCTAATTTGGATTGAATTTTCTCTAGGTTGAACTCAATTTTCTCTGGGTTGGTCTAGAGAAATTCTCTGGTTTGGACTGAATTTTCTCTAGTTTGGTCTAGAGAAATTCTCTAGTTTGAACTGAATTTTCTCTGGATTGATTTGAGGAACCTTAGACATTCTCTCCTTGGCATTTCATCAAACACCTTCTTTGCTAAATCCATGTCCCAAGCTCTGTGCATATTTTGCATATTTTCAAAACAAGCTTGGGCAGAATCAGAATCAATCTGCAGTGATGTCATAGGAGGTTAGTTTTAATTTGAAAGAAGAAAAACATGCAAAACAGATATAAATAAATTCTCAAATATTTACCTTCCCACATTTGGATCATATCCAATGACATAGTAAGTAAAGAACACCCAAAAAGCAACCTTGACACGTGTAATAGGCATCTTGAGAATCCATTTGGGAAGAGCATATACCCATGGGGGATAAAATAGAAGGTCCCTTTGCTTATAAAAGACAGGAAGCTTCACAATATTGCCATGGCCATTTCCCAGAATCCATTAAACATGATCATATTCACAGCGAAAAATAAAGAACCGATATATATTCCTCCATCAGTTATTGAATTTCGAACTGACTCATCGGTGGAGTAGGAAAAAGTGCAATATTCATGAACCCTCGAAGCTCAGATCGCAGTGGTTCAACTTAGATCGCAGCGTTCCAGTGACGGCGTGGTAGAGACAGAGGCGAAGGTCAAGATCAGAATGTACACAAAGAGAGAGGGTTTGATTTGGATAGAATGAAGATCAGAAAGAGAGAGAGTGTGTGCCAAATTTCTCTGATATGATATATGGGTATGGGTTTAGGGACCTTGGACATCAAAAAATAATATTGTGAATCTCTTCCATTATTAAAAATGAGGGAAGGATCTTAGACTAATTTTCTCAAAAAAAATTATACAGCTTGTTTTGTTTCGGTATCCAGAAAATATTTTTCAAAAAAATTTATTTTTTTATTTTTCGTATTGTTAATATTTTCAATGATTTTTTTTAATATTTTCAATAATTTTTTTAATTTTTATATGTGCCTAACATAAATAAACTTAAAAAGTATAATAATTGTGAAAAAAATCTTTAAAAAATTCACTAAATATCAAAAATACAAAAAACATCAATACATTTTTCATATTTTTGTGTATTTATTAATTTTTTTAAATATTTTTTCACAAATATTTTACTATTTAGATACATCTAAGTAAAGTGCATTTAAAAAAGTTAAAAAATTGCTTAAAATTTTAAAAATATTCAATAAAAACAAAAAATTGAGAAAAATAAAAAACTCAATTTCAAAAAACTTAAATTCAAAAAACTGAAACCAAATACATTAATAGATTCTCACTCTCATTTAGATGTTAGGAATAAAAGATGGAAAATGCTAGAGGTCCCAAATTTTCTACCAAATAAATGACCAAATGTCTCACATGGGTGTGGACCTCATTCCCATGTGAGACATTTAGTCATTTGTTTGGTAGAAAATTTGGTGTCCCTAGCATTACCCATAAAAGATTTGGAATGAAAAATGTGTTATTAATGATCCTTTTTGCGAACATCACTTTATTCTTCCCATGAATTCATCCATTTTAACTCCTTTAATTATAAAAATATGTTACTTTCAATTCTTACAGACGCATTCTAAATTATTTTGAAAATAATTATATTTATATAAATTTTATAGTTGAGAGATTAATGTGTTTGGAGTCATAGATGAAGAAGATAAAATTATATTTGCTAATGGTTGAGAAAATCTTAGATCTCGTTTGGGAACAGGCTATTTTAGTAATTTTTAGATTTTTTACAAAAAGATGTACAAAAAAATAAAGAGAATGATGTGACAATTTATAATGACTTTTTGACTAAAATGTATAGTTAAAAAACAAGACCTTAGTGTAATTAATTCTTGAAAATTTTATTTTTAAGAAGAATTTTGTTAACAATTTTTTTATGGCATTTGTTAAAAAATGAAAATAATTATAGATTTTTAAAAAATATGTGTAATAAAAGACCAATGACTTAATGTGATGGATGAGGTACATCTTTATTTGTGACTAATCTTGGCCTTCAAATCTTGTCATTGTCTCGTAGAACTTTCCTTTCTTTATTTCACTCCCCATGAAGAAACAAAAAACACATTTAGCAATAATATAATTTTACATGAATTTTATTTAAGCATTTAAAATAGTTCTACATTACATTTTGTACTTCAGAGACTATTAGATCTGTTTGCTCATGATTTAGTCTTTATTAAAATAAAATAAAAAAGGTTCAAATTTAAAATTTGAATTTGAAATAATTTGAGGGATTCGTGAAGGTCACCACGGTTCTAGTTTCAATGATTCAAACTGTTCATTTTATAAAATTCTCCATATATATCATCCATAAAAAAATAAAAATAAAAATAGATTGATCCGTAAGAGATCAACACGTTTATAAGAGATCAACACTGACGAGTGATGGCAGTAGGATTGTGACGGTGGCTATACTTTGTTCATCCATGATGGAATAGAATGGTGAGCGGTGATGGTGATGCTAGTAGTAAGAGATCATCCATGGTGTGGTAGTGTAGTAGGATTGGGGTTGTGGTGGTGATAAACGGTGTTAATAGGATGGTGATGGTCATAATTGTGACATCAGTGGTAGTGGTGGTAGATAGGTTGATATTGGTAATAGATAGGTAGTAATAGTGGTAGTGATGGCAACAATGTTAGTACCTTGTTAGTAAGATAGTTGTGGGCAATGGTAGTGATACGATGGTTATGGCAGAAATAGTAAGATAATGGAGGTGGTTGGTGGTGATAGTAGTAGAGTAATTATTGTAGCAGTAGTGGTTGGAGATAGTAGTAGGCGAGAGTGATTGGATAGTGGAAAGAGGTGTGGTGGTGAAAACAAATAATGGTAATAGTTAGGACTGAGCACAGTGTTTTCCGATCTGCGAAAACTACCCAACCCGAACCGCCCATACTTATTTGGGCGGTTTCACAGAAGCGTTAGGGTCGGATACAGATTAGAATTTTCCTATTTTGCGAGTTGCGGACGGGTCGTGAGTTTTACTTGCACCCGCACTCCTATATATTTGTACATTTTTTTATAAAATTTAAACCGCCAGATTTTTTTGTAAGTTTTTTAGTAGGAAAGATAAAGTTGGTGGCAGGTTTTTTCTATCTCAGAATCCTTCTCAATATTTGAATTATCTGTTGTCTTTGGACAAAGCTTCAAGGTTAGTTTCACAAATTATTTTCTTTGTTTTCTAAACCACAAAACAGAGATATAAAACCTTTATTTTTTTTTTCTTTTTGTTCTGAAGAAAATTCTTAGAAAGAATACTGAGATTTTCTAGGAAGATTGAAGATTAAATAAATGATATAATTTTCATTTTCTATGGAGTTTACTAGTTTGCAAATATTTTTATTTTATTTTATTTAATGGGTTTGACAACAATTTATTTTAGTTCTCAACTAGTTATTATTATTGCATTTTGGTTTTTGGATGAATATAAATGTTAATGAATAATTACTTTTAGGTAAGTTTAGGATTTTGAATGATTTTACTATAATTGTGTTGTTGGGTACTAGATAGTGAATAAATTTTTAAAGGAAAAGGTTTAATTAGTAAACTTATCGCAACCGCCTGCTCATTCGAGAACTCTATCCGCACAAATCGTAACCTACACCACGGGCGGTTATCAATTCAATTTTTTCAAACCGCAGACATGCAAGTAGGTCCAAACCGTAAGTTGAACCGTCAAAAATCAATCCGCGAGCACCCCTAATAATAATAGTCAAGAGATGACAAACATAGATTAGGATAATTTCATGACAGAGTTGAATGTCCCAAATAGTAAGTGTTCACATTTTTTGTTGAAAATTATAATGGTTATTCCAACAAAAACTATAACAAATAAAGGAAAAGAAATGCAAAGTTAAAATAGATATTTTATTTTAGCCCATTGTATCAAACATGCGCTCAATGATTACAATATGGATAAAATTTTGTTAATATTGCAAATCAACTATGCATCCTTGCAAACTTTATTCATTCATATCATTATAATCATACGAAGTATTACAATTTTTGAAGTTTTACGACATTTTTTTATATATTTAAAATCTCTCATCAAGTAATTATTATATTCTTTTATTTTAAACAACTATAAATAGAATAGTTATAAAACAAAAAACAAATAAGACAATAGATAATTTATCAAATTTTAACTATTCCAAACTATTATCAATTATAACAATTGTTTTAAATGACACACCTAGTGTAGTGTGTGTTCTTACTTTTAATAACAATGTATACATAAACAAACATCCTGATTTTTGTTAAAGAAGTAAAAGGAGGGGGAAAAAACGCCATTTTAACCATCTCAAAATATGCAAAATGAATCTCACACGCACACAAGCAATTCAGCGATCTCTCATCATCAACTAATGCCATATTTTTTTTGATAATTCGATATCCGATCTGAAGAATCGACTAATCTGGGAGCATGAACAATTATACATATATGATCAACCACGGAGCGAATTACGAACACCAAGCAGCTTCACATCATCGATAACCGGACCACAAAGCGAACCAGAATTATCGTTCTTCATAGTATAAAACGAGCTCAAAAACCTAACCCGGGTCCGCGGCGACACAGCCGTGAACTGGAGCTCAGCCCGTTTGAACCCGCCTTTCCCCTTTGACTCGTAGGGAATATGAGCCGTGACGTTGCCAGAAAATGACTCGACCACCATCGACCCCTCGCAGGAATTGCTGGCGTCTCCGACAGCGAAGGTAAGGGAATAGAGCTTTCCTGGCTTGGTCCTGACAACCTGAGCAATGGCGCTTTCTTTGCCGGCGATGAGCTCGATGGCTCGGCGGCCCACGGGGACGGAGAAGTGGTCGGAGTCGATGTATTTGACGGCTTTGAGGGACTCGATTATCCAGCCGGGGAGTGGGGAGTGATCGTCCTCGATGTTGGGAGGGATCAGGACTCCCGATGATGTGTTCGGGAACACGTATGGACCTTCTTCGAAGTTCCCATTCTTCAGCATGTTCACTGCAATTAATAGACGCAAAAAATAAACATCGAGGTTTTTTCAGCTTGATTGAAATAGGAGGCTCAACTTGCTTTGCCAACATGTTCATCTCATTGTACAGAATTCAATTACAAAATTAAGGGATTGTTCGTAAATGATCTAAATAAATAAACACACTTATTTAGGTCATATGATTTTTCTATTTTTTTTTATTTATAATTTTTTATAAAAAATCAAAAAATAAACTAAATAAACAAACTCCAAATAACCCCAAAATACAATTTTCTTATATAAATGTGGGCTCCCCATAGGTAAGACTCACCAAAACATGTGAAAAGATAGTGAGATCCTGAACGAGCCAAAGTAATGTATAGCTTCCAATAGGATTGTTTGGAATATAATTTATAAGTTTACTAAAAAAAATGTGTCAAAAAAATAAAGAAATGACGTGATCTAAATAAGTTAATAACTTTTTTTTTTTGGGTATTCAAAAGGGGCCTAAATAATTTTTCAATTGTATTTGGACAAGTTAGGGATGACCATTTTAATTCAATTAGTAGGGGCCGCTTATACCCACCAGAATGGGATGGATTTTACTCATCCCGACAGTTAGGTGGGGCGGAGATAGATTATATTTTGGTCCTCTGCAACGGGGTGGAACAGAGGCCGGTATTGCCTCCCTTGATTCAAATCGGACCCGATATAATTGATAATATATAAATAAATAATATATATGTATATATAATATAATTAGATATAAGAAAATAAAATTAAAAGTTTGTGATTATGTTTAAATATAAATAAATAATAATCCTAAAACTCTCACTGTTTATATATATGGAAACAAAGAAAATTATTTAATACGTTAAGAATTTAAATAGTTTTTAATTTTTTTAATTTTTTAAAATGTAGTCAAGTATCCGCAGGACAAAGATGAAGTTGAAAAATTTTACCTATAACAGGGGTGGAGTTTGTCTGCACGAGCGGAGAATGGCAAATTCGTTCCAAACCCTCCGGTGGCCATCCTTTAGGACAGGTACCCAAGAGCAATTTCAATACTAATAATTATTTTGTCTAACAAAAATACAATGTTTTTGTTTATTTTTTCTAATTTAATATGGTGGTTGTTTATTTTTTTCTAATTGCTTGTTTGGTGGATACTTTAACAATCTCCACTCCTAAAACCAGTTGCCTAGCCTTTATAGGCTCTCCAAATTGGTTACAAACAAATCAAAAAGTTTAAGACTTAAATCTTAAATTCTAAATTTGTGTTAAAAATGATAATGTGTGCTGGAGTTTGAAAGTATAAATTATAGAGTTATATGTACAATAAATTTAAATCATATATTAATATTTTTTAATAATTTTTGGATAAATGTGAACGAATAGATAATATTTGGTTTTAACATGTTTTACTTTGGACATAATTAAAGATTTTTTTTTATGTAAAATTACAATTGTAGTACATGCATACACAAATATTAAATAAAAAGTTATTCGCATAAGTAATTACAAATATATTATCTAACATCTGTGCAATTTATGTTTATTTTTCTTTGTACACTTAATTTTATTTTTTATTTTTTTGGGTTAAAATTACTATTATATCTTTTTATCAATGAATTAAAAATCTTAGAAGTTGGATTGGATGTATTGAGAGAGAGAGAGAGAGAGAGAGAGAGAGAAAAGACCTCCAGTTGTTTGAGGAGTAGACAAAGCCTTCAAAGCAACAGAATCAACAAGAGGACCACAAGCCGAGTCCACCTTATCCAACTCAGGATTATGAATAATAATCTCCAACTCACTCGCCTCAGCCAAGAACCCCCACGAATACGAGTCCCACCCATCGCTACTATACATCGTCTGTATCGGCAACATCCCCCAATCCTTCGCCTCCGTACTTGGCCACACTGACACGTTCAACTTCTCCTCTTGTCCGCACGTTCTTCCCGCACTCAATGTTAGAGAATAGAACATTCCGTTCGCGACTCTCACTTTCTGTTTTATCGATGCGTCGTTGCCGAGTCTCACTGCGAATTTTCCTTCGGGGACGACGAGTAACATATCGCCTTGTTTTGTTCCTGATTTGATGTATTCGACGAATCCTGAGGATTCCCAGTTTGGGATGGCGTTTCGGTCCATCACTTCTGTGCCGTTTAGTTGGGAGGGTTTTGGGCCTTCCTCGAAGTTTCCGTTGGGCAGTAGTCCTGGAATTCAAAAGCGTTATTTTAATAATTTTTAAATTTTTATTAAAAAGATTTATAAAAAATTTTAAAAAAATAATGTTAATAATTTATATATTTTTTAACTTTTTGAGTAAAATATATAATTGACAAATAGACCTTTAAAGTTGAATTAGCTTATTTTGGTCATATTATATATTATTTTTTTTTACACTTTTAAAAAAAAAAATTAAAGTTGAAATTTTTTCTATTTTAAAGCTTAATGCACTCTCATTTCCATCTGTAAATTAGAAAATAATGTTATCAATTTATTTTATACTAACACTAATTTAGGGTTATGGTTTGGCCCCTGTCTCAATTGCGAGAATAGATCTAGGAGTTTATTAAGCTTCCGTTATGGAAGTGGGTTGGCTTTTTGACTTTTGGGCTTTTTGGCTATTTTAGCCTGGGCTATTTTAGCCTGGTTTGGGAAGGGCTTTTTGGCTTTTTGGCTTTTTTGACATTTTTTTGTGGAGAGGATTGTAAAATGATTATGGGTTGGATTTGATGTTTTGTTTTTTGTGGCTAAAATAGCCTATTTTTGGTTTTTTGTGGCTATTTTAAGCCAAAGAGGCCTGGGCTTTTTCTTCCCAAACAAAAAGGGCTAAATCTGAATTTGATAAGTTTCTATCCTAATTTTTTTTTGGGTACATCGGAATAAATTTTTCTATCCTAATTTGAATGGTTCCAAAGTTGCCCTGGAAGCACCTGAATAATTCTCTCTAAAATAATGTGGTAATAATAAATATTTTAAAATTAATATTGGTGGATGAATCAGTTGAATGGACTAAAAAAAAAATCAAGACTACACGTCATTCTTCCAAGAAATTTTTATTAAAAAAATATGAATGATTGATGGTAACTGTTTACTCTAAAAAAATCGGGAAGACTAATGATGCCATTTCTCAAATCGTATGTACCATATAATCTTTATAATTAAAAAAATAAGTTATAACTTTTTTTTTTGAGTCATATATTAAAATAAATAAATAAATCATAACCAATCTCCAAAAAATCTAATCAATATTTCAAATAATATTATAAGAAAATGACGTAATTAATAATTTATATAAATAGATGGTGTGTATAGTAGAATCTAAAATATATATAATATGTTAGAGTCTTGTGCCACCTTTCATCACAATGGTCTGTGCTCTGGTGCATTATCAACTAGAAATGAGTTATTTTTGCGTTTTAAATTACTGTAGACTATCTATTTGTTTGAAATGAATTTAAATAAGTGTATTTTATTTTTTATGAGATGTACAGAAAAGTAGAGACGTGATGTGATGAAACAACGCATCAACACACCCATTAGATTAATTTTGTCGTATGCAAATAATGTATTTTTTTTATGATTTATTTGATTTCTTTTAAATTTAAAATTTATTTTACTATTCGAATCTGGGCTTATCACAGATTAGTTTGATAATTCCAATTATTGTATTGTTGTATAATTCCTTATGTATATCATTAATAAAAAATAAAAAATAAAAAATCAGTTGACATGAAATAATTTTATATTTTCATTAATCATTTTGTCTTTGGAAATTATACGATAAATATAATTTTTAAAATAAATTATTTATCTTTTGAAAAGAATACAAATAAAATAAAATAATATAATTATTAAATTGACTTAATTTTTTTTTATAAATAATAATAATATATATATATATAATCAAATAAATTATTCAAATTATCAAAATTTTCAATATATATATTTTTATGTGTAATTTTGTGGCCAAGCAATTTTTATGAAAAATGCTTGGGAGCACTAATGTAGTGCTCCCTAATTAGGTGGCAGTGGGTCCCCATTAATGATGTGATGTTTTGGATCTTCGAGTTGTATTTTTTTTTTTTTTTTTACTTTTTTAATGCATTAGTGCTATTAGTGGTGATGTTTTTAGTGGGATGAATCATTGTTGAATTTTTATTTGAAGCATCATGTGGACATTGATGACCACGCAGTTGACCTGACAGAGATCGATGCTTTTGAGTTTATTATTAATGAACAATTGCTATTATTCGGTGGTAATGGACCTCCTTTTAGGAGATATTGCGAAGTTGGTCTACTTTAGAAATACATTAAAAAATTAAGTTTTTAATTTTTTTTAAATAAAAAATAAAAAAATAAATAATGAGATTTTAAAAAATTAAAAAATTAACTTATAATGATCTTGTCTAATGCCCAATATTGCCCTATGCTGATCAACTGGCAACCATGCGCCCACAACTGAGATTCTAATCATAAAATTTTAACAATAATCTTTGTACTTAGGACAATTTTAAGAAGTAGATTAAAATCTCTTCCAAAAAAAAATCAAAAAAAAAAAGTTAAAGAGTTAGATTTTAACCTTCTTCCCAAAATACCTTATTATCATATTTTTATATTTCATTACACTAATCAATTTAACTGTTAATGTAGTCTTTTGACAACCTTAGTAAAAAAGCTGCGTTTGCAGCTTAGGAAAAAAAAGTCACATTAGCTTTTTTGAGCAACAAATCATTTAGCACAGTAAAAAAAAGCTACATGAAATATTACAATTACACCTTTTATATTATTTAGGATTATGTATAAGTGAACATGTAAATTTTTTAAATTTGGTGGGATAGTTTAGTCATTTTATTGTAATGTGACATCATAAATAAATATTAACCAAAAAAACCAAAAATAGCTTTTTATCACCTTTCCAAATCACTTTTTAAAAAAGTCAAAAAATTTAGTAAAAAGTCAAAAGTTAATTTTTTACCATCTTTTCAAAATACTCCAATATAATAGTAGCAGAATAAAGCTTTGGACCCCCAGTGGGGGTACTGGGGTCCTCTCCCATTGGTCCAAAAAAACAGGTTTTTTTTTTTTTTTTTTTTTTTGAGTTTTCAACCAACCCCAGGCCGACACGTGGCACTGGGGGTCACTGGGGGTCACCCCAACTGGGGGTCTGTAGCATTGCTGAATAGTAGCATAATAAGTCCACCATGAACATGTAGTACTGATAGTTAGATTCACACATCAAATATAAGATAAATAGATAGAAGTGGATAGTTATTCTCGTATCATATCTTAAAAAGATAAAAGTGGATATTATCGTATCATACCTTAAAAAGTCTATGTTCATTTGCCTTAAAAGTTAGGAAAATTTACAGCAGAGAAGGAACACTGAAATTTATTTATAGATTCATAAATTTTATAATTTTAGTTTTTAACGTTTGTAAAGTATACCATTAATTTGAAAATATATTTTCAAATATCAACTAAATTGAAATTATCCCTAAAAGTTAATCATGCATGTTCATATAATGTGATGATTGTGAGTGAATTAAGACAATAACAAAGGATTTTTAACATAAAAGATCTATAGACCCAATAAGCTAGCAACATAAATAATGTATTTTAAACACCAAGAGTTTTCTTGGTTAGAGATAAATTGCCGAAATTTTGTTTTGTTTAATTAGTTTCCTAGAAACGAAAACAAAAAATGAAAACAATAACATATATGGAAATGACAGGTGTTGTTTTTTTTTTTTTGGGTTTTTTTTTTTTTTTTTTTTTTTTTTTTTTTTTTAATGTGTTCTTAACATTATTGATCCTTTGGAAAATGAAATATAGTCAAAGAATATCTAGTTAGCATAATCAAGCTTTAAGATTATTTGTGTCTCATTATTTTGTGTGCATATATATGTATTGAAAAATTTTCCACTATGCAATGCACGCTAATGTAAGTTTATCACAAAAATAAGTAAATTGAATACAAATTCAAATAATTTTTAAATTTTTACGAAGCATTGCATATGGAAGCATTTCTCATATGTATAGATATAGTTACCAAATCAAGAAAACTTCACTAGCAAAGCAAAGGGCCAAATGCAGATGAGACATGGCTCATAATTACGGTGTAAAGAAAGCAGATCATAGAGAGAGCTCAGATAGCTTACCGTCTGTGATGGACAAGGCACCATGGTATGTGGCACAAAGTAACACTAACACCACCTTCATCCTCAACATATTGTATGAGAGGGAGAGAGAGAGAGAGAGAGGTTGGCAATGAAATCAGAGTGCTGTGGTGGTGCATTATATGTATTTCGGTTTCTGATAAAGCCCCAAGATTTTTCGAAATTCACGTATATACCACTCAAATTTTCTAAAGGATCAGATTCCATTTGAAGGGTTATTTTAAGTATGACTTATTTTTTTATTTTTTATTTATTATAAAAAAAAATATACCAGTAACATGACAGAAAAAAACTAACAAGTAAGTTATTTGGGGGTGTCCCAAAAGAGTTAATTAGGATCGTTAGGTTGTGTCTACTTAACCAGTAAATTGTTTAAGCTTGATTTGAGAATTTAACTAGTTTTAAAAGAAAATTTTAATATACATCTTTTTAAAAATGGTATACCATACGCACCCTAATTATATCATTTTCATCTTTAGTTATGATTAATTTTTTTCTTTAATTACGACATAATTTTAGTTATGACTCATAAATCTTTAAATTATGCATTGTATTGTGTTTAGTTATGACATTTTTTATTATTTTTTTTAGTTATGATTCGAAATTTTTAAATTTTAAAATTTTGTCATTTTTTTTTTATTTATAACTTAGAAGGTACATATGGTGCACACTTTTTGAAGGGTGTGCACCTTAGTGTTTTTTAATTTTAAAATATATTCAAATTTGCCTTATTATTTAAAATTGATTTGAAAACTTCACGAATTTAAAAACATATTTAAGTTTTATTTACCTTTTAAGTCAATGTCAAATTAATTTTAAACGTACAAATCATTAACTAAGCTCGAGTTACTTTTTTTGTGAATGATATATGAGAGGGAGGTTTACGACCTAATATTTGGCCGAGCTGGTTTGGGCCGGATTCAAAGTCCCTTGCTCGGTCAGACGCTGGGTGCACACCGGACCGACGACTCAGTCCGGTCGACTTGGAACAACTTTAGATTGCCAGTCCGGAGGAGATGTGCTCCACAGAGTTGGACGAGATTAGTCCTCCAAACGTCAAGATCGACCGAGCTCTTGCTCAATCGAGACTAAAGAGCTTGGCTAAGCCACTGTCACGACCCAAACCCGCCCCTATAGGTTTAGCATCGTAACCGGCCAATAATCCTTGGACTACCGAAGGCCTCTGAACAGATTAACAAGTTTAAGGGGCTAGCGGAAGCAAATACATAAATATAGTTGTCCAATGAGCTGTGCTGACTTATATGAAACGGAATATTTAAAAACTCATATACATAAACAAAGTCATTCATACATTATACCCACACATATTAATGTATCTAAGTACAACCAACAGAACAACCGAGTCTTGCATATACAAAAACAACAGAACTTAAACACTGGACACTTTGGGAACCTCCACGTGAGGCACAATGGTTGACTGACAACAGAACACAGATCTAGACAAAAGCCTTCAGGCTCGGGCTCCAGAATGCTCACCTACACATATATATACACACAGTGAGCTAAAGCCCAATGAATAACATTAAGGTAAAGGGTTTAGTGAATGAAATCCGAATATATCATAAGCAGAAAACAGACCAGAGCATAATCATTCTCATATCAGAACATAATAATGGTACATCCCATAGAACACATCACAGAACGTCTTCCGACTAGAGTAATCGGTTCCGGATACCGATTAAACACATATCACCACAATGAAGTGGCTAACGAGATCTCGTAAACTTGTATGTCATGGACCCGCATTTTCATGCCGTCCCCCATGACTTGGGACTATCTATAGATGCCATAATAGATTTCAAACTTGGAATATTCGTTCACGAAAACAGATATCATTTCAGAAATCAGAACTTATCATATTTCATTTGGAATGTAATTCATATAAACGTATCTTTACAATAACGTTACTCACAGTGGTCCCAGCAATGGTCAACCAACCCTCGAGTCTTGACCTACAGTCACAAAATACATAACACAAGCATGCCTTATCATTACACATTTAAGAGGCCATTAAGGCTTAGCTTTTATTACATTGATTCTTAACCTTTCTTATCACAATGCCTAACACACACACACACTTGCAGTCTCGGAACACAGCACATTCTTTTCTTAGTGTGTTTCTAATCCATAACCTCATTGTCAAAGCTTAATTAAGGCTTAAAAATGCCTAAGATGAAATGAGGATACCAAAACATGCCTTGGAACACTTAGGAAAATTTCTGAAAATAAGGTCCATGCTCGAGCGTGGCTTGCCCCGCTCGAGCGGACTGCAAACTTATGAAAAAGTGCTGGATGCATGAAATTCACGCTCGACGGGCGCTCGACCCCTGCTCGAGCGTGTGACACAGACCCTCGCTCGAGTGGACTGTAAAACGTATGAAAGTGCTAGAAACACGCATTTCACGCTCGAGCGTCACTTCCCCCACTCGAGCGTGAGTCCAAAATCTGGAAATTCCATATTGAACCTTCAAGCTCAAAATCAACTTTAAATGTACCAAATTCGATCATTTTGGGCTAATTTTCTAGAAAATACTTGTAAACTCATAGTATGACATGTTTCAAAGATCAATTTGAGAAATCAAAACCCAAAGGTAGTTCAATTGAACACAAATTTCAAGGAGTTTTTATGAACAAGACTCGAATGTAGCATGCATGAGCTTAAATGAATTTAAAGGTTCAAACACAAGATCATATGAGCCAATCCTTTTAAAAACATGAGGGATTCATGAACTAGAACCATAATATGAACATGCATGTGGGAGTTTTCATGAAAACAACTTCAAAACTCTACAACATGTACATGCATGCATGAATTCCTACTCAATTCAACATATTAAGCTAATTCTTGACTCTACTCTTCAATATATTATGAACCATGCAAGAACTAACTTAAATACAAGTTCAAGAAGATGGTTCCTCTACCTTGTGCCTTGAATTCAAGATGTGAAAGCTCAATTATGCAAATTTCCTTCAACTCTCTTAATTTCCAAGCTAAAACATAATGAAATCAAGCTTTCCTCCCATCTCTCTCTCTCTAGTCGGTTTAGGCTCAAGAAATAGCTGAACAAAGTACTAGAAATAAAGCTCAAATGTGTTTTATGAAGTGGGCCACTAAGTGGCAAAATGGTGATTAAGGCCAACTATTGTAACTTAGCTTATTTAATCCAATTTAGCCATTCCAAATCGATTTTTAATTAAATCTACCATAAAATCACATATATTCTAATTAGCATAAAACATTAATCGATTTCAGATTCGGCCGTCGATAAGGCTTTCAATCTACATATTAAAGTGAAATTCCCAACAGATATTTCTATAAGTAACAGATAGAAAGCCAAAATCATGGAAAACACAAAATAAACACATAAGTTATTTTAATTCTCTCATTAGCATCGTTAAATACGGATTAGTAGCTAATTACGGATCAGGGTTGTTACAGCCACGATGTGGAGTTATCAAGGAAACCAAACAAGTAGCGCGATCGTGAGGTGATGGCGTGGCACCGCGCTAAGCATAGTTCGGTGGGGAGTACTATGCAGCGCCACGAGACTGCTGGAAGGAGATTGCATTGTCCGTACGCGTCAATACCATTTGGCGATTTCGTTAGGTGGTGTTTAGCTATATTGGTGCTGACACGTAGGGAAACGTGAGAGGAGAGCAGGTCCACGCGTCCCGAGGGAAATGGGCACAGAAACAAGCGCAAAAACTATAGAAATGATATTGCGCCTCTATACTCAGGACTAGAACATCCTCTGATCAGAGCTCACCTACCACTTTGTCTCCTCTCTTTTCTCTCTCTCTCTAAGTGTGCTAACTAAACCCTCGGAGTGAAGCACAACTTCGACACCAGGAGTACGGATAACGTCGGATATTTGGTTCCCGTATAATTGACGCCGTCTGTGGGAAGGCTCCGACAGACAAAATCTTGTCCTCCAAGCTCTTCCAATCATATTCCATGGCGAACAACGACGACGTTCCACTGTCCGCCATCGACAGCATCACTCCGGAATTCGTTTGGAGAAGAGATGGTCTTGTTGCCATCCCTGCCATGGCTGGCCTGGATACCTTTCCTAAAGGACTCGCCAGAGATGCACGGGACAAGCGCCCGAGGAGCATTGATCACTCGCGGAGTCCCAACGGGCACCGGCAGCGAAAAGAATCACACTCTCAGTGCCTAGAGCATAAGCAGCGAGACCAAGACACCATCATTTGAAGGATGGCGGCGGAGATAAAGGCGTTGAAGCGGCAAGTCAAAGGGAAGGGTGTTGCTAAAGTAGGTAACCACAGTGAACGCACCTAACTTCGTCACTCAGGCAGCCAGAACTAGCGGTGGACACCCTCCCTCTCCATCACCAGAAGTTATGGGGTTGATGACTCTGATTCGCCAGCAGAGAAGTCTTGCGTGCGAGACAGCAGTTACCGTCCCTCATATTCGTCAACGATGTCGAGATATTCTTACTCCACTCATTCGGAGGACCTGAAGGATGTCTTGGAAGAACGAGTGTGCCGGCGGAAGGCGCAAAGGGTGTTAGCGCTGCAGCGGTTATCCCACGGAGGTCGCGTTAGTGAAAAAGTCATAATGCCGCCACCACGTCTAGCTGTATATGTTCCTTTGGACAGAGACTTGGCGAGGCTGAGCGCCACCCTCTTCTCCCTCAAGATAGAGACCACACCACTCCCTTCGAGATTTCACCAGCCCAAGTTTACACTCTATAATGGAAAAACCGATCCATATATGCATGTGAGCCACTTCTGGCAAGTTATGGTTGGCTATAGGCGTAATGACGTGCTTATGTGCCTTATTTTCCCGTCAAGTTTGGGTGAGTTGGGCCTGAAATGGTTCGAGAGGATGCTGAAAAAAAGTATCGAAAGCTGGCAATAGTTAGCGAAAGCATTTGTGACGCGATTCAAAACCAACACCAAAGCGCCAAAAGAAGTCGACCATCTTCTGAGCGTGAAGATAGAACCGAGTGACTCACTCAAAGCGTACAATGCCAAGTATTGGGAAACCTTCAATGAAATCCTTGATTGCCTAATCAACTTGGCAATCACCCAATACAAATG